AACGCGCCAGGCAAGCGAAAACAAAATATGAAAGACGGACGCCGACAGTCGCCACAGCGAAGCCGGGAGTTGTCGACGTGACTGTGTCTGTATGTCTGCCGGTGAACAGATGCATACGTGCGAAAGTGGAAGCGTTATTTCGCTTGCTCATAGAAAACAAGGTAAGTGATTAATATCCATACCGTTCGTATGGTAGCCTGGTTAACTTAGAAAGGCGAACGGCCGCTCACCTTTCGTTAGGCCAAGCGTATCGTGACAATTCGCAGTGAGCCCAGACAGCGTAATCGACTATATATGCGTACGGTTTCTGCATTGCTCATCTGAGGGCTACCACGATCTGGAGATCGTAGAGTACAGGTAATCGAGATAGCATAGTGTCTTCGGAACGTTGTAAACCCTCCCAATTCTATGTAAGGCATGCCAAAAGTAGCAGTCTTCGGAGGATTGTCCGTAGTCTTATCATTACTCATCACTGAGTCAACTCACATTCGCCTAACCTGCACAATAAAATCATCGATCAGGAGCTAACAACATTTCAGTCAACTAGCGCCCACGTACCAACGGGACTGCGTTTTCAAAACATCCCGCGTGATGAAAAATTAAGCGGAGGAAGTGCAAGTAGCCGACCTCTGGGCTTGTGTTATTATTGTACTGAATAGTGAGGATGACGGGAAAACATTGCAGTGTATGGTGCATGATAGACAGACATGAGACCAAACATATGCAGTGAGAGGGATGAGTTGTGGAGGACGAGACACGGAAGCAAATCTAAATAAAAGGTGATCACAAGAGTGCCAGTGGATGTATGAGTCATTTGGGCAAGAGTTTGCAATCGTCGTCTAAATCTTCAACCCCCAGTCCTCGCATCGACATAAACCGACGTGGCCAAGACCATTCGTCAGGCGTTTGTACAATTCAAGGATCCACCAGAACTACAAATAACGTAATGTCACAGTGACAAAACGTTAATCGAACATCCACCAAACGACTTCCCAAATACCGCACGAAGTAAATCAGCACTGAAAATATGGCGCTCCCGCACACATTGTACATTATTCAGTAGAAACGAGTCGTCTTTTGTCAAACAGCTCCCTCCCTCCCTCGACATTCCAATGTTCCACTAATGAAAAGATTGTACCTCACCGTGGTCCAAAGGTTTGTTCGTTTAGCTTCGGCTACTTAGCTTTACTAGTGAGTTCATATGTACAACCCATAAACTATCCCAAGCATACGTCTGGCGAACAGAGGATTTCCGCTGCTCTGCTGGTTGCAATTGGCAGTGCAAAGTCTGCAGGTGTGTCCCCAAACAAGATGCCGGAGAGTGCTGAGAATGTTGCCCATTCCCAAAACCATCATCCCCATGGTAACATTATGTAATTATATTCGGCCTCGTGCTATAACCGTCCCAAGAGGCGATGTACCCCCGGCTTTCACAACGGCCCGTGTAATCAAACTGCCAACTGGACTCGTAAATTACAGAAAATAGAAGAAAACGATTCGGCTCAAAAATCATCTGCTGGGTTGATCTGCGTTGTTGGTTCGTTCGCCAAGGTTGGCAGATGGATTGTAAAAGATTCATAACCAGTCGAGTTGACATTGTCGGGGCGCGGTTGAGTGAGTGAATTTCTCTTTTGCCTGTGCTCATATTGTTTCCAAACAGCATCTAATAGCTCTAAAGTGATTGGTTGGTCTCGAGGTGGGCCTCACGCAGTTTGATTGACTGTCTGGGGATCTGGGTAGCGTCGTGACCTCATTCCATTGTATCTGACTGGTTCATTGGACGTTTTTGGTTCGAAAGTTCTGTTCTTCCGTTGTGGTTGGGTCGTTTGCTTCTTGATTTTTGGTTTGATTTTGGTTGATTCGATAACCTTTTATTTTTGATTGATCCGATTGGACCGTTGATCGTCGTCAGGTTGTTTAATTTCCCGTGCGGTTCGGTTTCCGTAACTGTGTGGTTCTCTTGTTCGTATCGGCTGATAGATTGAGTCACTGCGAACGGGTTTATTGGTCGATTTTGTGTGCAATAACGCTCGCCGAAATCTCCCGTTTTGTTCTTGTGTGAACAAGTATTTGAACATTGTACCAATTGAAATGATGCCCTCGTGAGTTGAAACAAGTGGGATTGGGTCATGTCCTCTGGTGCCGGTCTTATATTCGTGTAGTCTGGTAGCAAGTTTTCTTCCAGCCATTACACTGAAGCTTGTAGATCACGTTCATCTTCCTCATTGAATCCAACCTTACCTTTGATTTCGAAAGGACTCTTCTCAGCGTATTTACGGACTTGAAGACGACTGTTATCCCATTTTACCGTAAATGTCCTGCAGTCATTTCCGTTACATCTTCATATACGGGGGCGTAATCCTTCTCTGTTCAGGCTGCGTTGGCAAAATAGCTTGGAGTTCTGACAGTCTTCTTTCTTCTTTCCTCTTCGGCTCTTTAGTCTTCTACACTTCGATTCCGGTAACCTCAGACCAAACAGGCCTCCTACTGTCAAGTGGGCTGGATTGCTGGACCACTGGCTCGCGGCGCGATCCCCAAATAAACCCTAACGACCGTAGCCCCAACGGTGAGACTATTGCATCAAATGCCACCGTTCCAGTGTCTTGTGAGTGAGACTCCGGAGTTGGAGACTAAAATGGGATGCCTCTCCTACTTCGGTTTGAGCAACTAAGAAGTGTCATTTGCTCTGGCAACGTTGATGGGAACGACAGTTTCGCTTCGTCTCTATCTCGCGTCAAATGCCGCCATTCCCGTACACACACTCGTATCACAGTGAATCGGACGACCCGAATCGGGTAAACCGTAGGATAGCGTAACATAAACCTAGTGTTTTATGTCTGGTTGGGATCAGCTAGGAAACAACCGCCCGGAATTTCGGCAGTGAAGAAGCGAGGTGAGTATGTTCAGCGAACGAAAACAGGTAACAAAACGTCCCTAAGCCTCAGAAGATCGTAAGAAAGCCATACATAGATGAAGCGCCTTTACATCCTTGTGCTTCACTATAAAATGTGAAAAGATTGATATTTGGCAGTGTATCATAACAACAACAACAACAACAACAACAAAATTAGTCCTTCACGTCCTATATTAAATATAAAAATCGAGGCGTTATGTGGGAACCTCCATATGGAGAGTAACACGGCTTAAAACTGCATCCGTATTCCAAAATGATCATCAAAGCTGTGGATCTATTAAAGATCGGTAGTCACCAACTTGTGTACTCTAACTTGAACAAAAGGCGCTTGCGTCCACAAAGACAGGCAGAATTTAATTGGTTCTGTCCATTCACATCAGGCATCACAGCGAAACATGTTGCACTTCATTCAAACTAGAGCACACCGTCATCACAAGACCTGGTTACTGCTGTCAATTCCTTCACGTCCCATATTAAATATAAAAATCGAGGCGTTATGTGGGAACCTCCATATGGAGAGTAACACGGCTTAAAACTGCATCCGTATTCCAAAATGATCATCAAAGCTGTGGATCTATTAAAGATCGGTAGTCACCAACTTGTGTACTCTAACTTGAACAAAAGGCGCTTGCGTCCACAAAGACAGGCAGAATTTAATTGGTTCTGTCCATTCACATCAGGCATCACAGCGAAACATGTTGCACTTCATTCAAACTAGAGCACACCGTCATCACAAGACCTGGTTACTGCTGTCAATGAAGTGTGCCTATTAAGTCGCGTGATACACGGCATCTAGCCAGTGCCAAAGACAAACATCCGAGTGAATATGACTGGCAAAGGGATTGAAAACAGGTGATGCCATGGAGTAACTGCTTCCTCCCTCTTCCATACTCGTGCTACTAATTATGTCCTGGGCGTTTCTACCCCACCTCAATCACTACCGCAGCGTTGGTTGGGAGCAGGGTTAAAAATTTCGGGTGAAGTACATGTTTGGGGAACGCCCAGGGACGCGCTTTCGTATTAACTGCCTCTCCATTCAGTGATTTAGTATCGATGGGCGAACTGATGCACTCTACGCTCTCCTAAACATACCACGACCGTCGTTTGTCTGATGCGAACTTTAGGGACAGTGTGCCTGTGGTTAAGCTAAGATACCGAGGGAATAACTAAATAAAATTGTATTGTATACTTGAGACCTTATGCTACCTTAATGAAAGAGCGTACTCGAGTCCGATTCCTCGGAAGCGTCATGATGCATCGTCACTGGACGGACAAACAGGAAGAAAGTAGTTGGTCCGGGTTAGTGGCTGCTTATCGTATCACAAAAGATTAGTATCTGGTATACAAATGAGCAAGGCAGGTTCAACTAGAAGTTGACAAGCCAATTAAGTTTAAACACAGAGGGGAAACGCTTTCTCAAAAAACCTCGCAAAAAGCGAATCATCGAATGCAACGCACAAGTTAACGGTATAGAGTAATTCCTCGAAGAGAGGACATTGCGATCAAAGAAAATTGTTGGTCTTTTCTGAAGAGTGATCATGTGAGGATGACTTCTCTTCTACAAAGTCTCTCTTGAAAGGAACACTCTATCCTGACTGAATGCGCGTTGAATGCACTGCCAAGCAGTCATCTGTAGTTGAGAGGTGGAGTGTCCGAACCGCTATACCTAAGGTTTCTTGATTCGAAACAACCCCCGGACACGTAAAAGCTACATTGTTGGTGACTCTAACAGACATGAAACAACTGTTGACTTTTCAGTACTAGTCAAAATCGGATGAGATCCAGAGATGATAAAAGGTACTACAGTTGACTTTGGAACGTTCACCATATGTTACGATGAAACCCAACGCAGACAGACCAAATCATATAAGCTTCGGTTACGGCCGATCAACTTAGTGAGTTGGGAGACAAATAAATTAGAAGAACGATGACCGATTAATCTTGGTTCCTGGAGTCTACACGAAAAACATCCGAAAGAATTACGGAACATTTCATACTGCAATAAGGCGACTGGCCGTGGAGTGGGAGGGGGGCAGAAAGCCCCGAAAACAAGAGGGTAAGATGGATTTATGGGGAACCAACTCACCCGTGGATCATTTGCCAACTGATCATGATAATGGATACTGTGATGCACCGACCTCCTGGACAAACGAGGTTGTTTCATGTAGTAGATGCCAGGTAAAATCTACGCAGGAAGAAGACGCAATAAAAATATGTTAGTCAACCGTCTTTGGGAAGATGCTGAAAATGTCGACGTCCTGCAACTTTATTAAGAATCCAATGGCATAACAAAGTAGACGTTTCCACGTCGGGTGTTTATAAGAAACTACGTTTGAAAACATAGCTGAAATAGTTCGAAATAGTTCGCGACAGTCTAGTCAGAAAAACCTATGGATCCAGTGCATTCTTCTCAAGGAAATTTAAGGGCCGGTTATTTCTCTAAATAAAACAATAGTTTTAGCCTGCCGTCACATAGTACCTGACACCTAATCGTGACAGTGATCAGCCTATTCAAATTTACCACCGGTAGAATGAGAGCGCATCCTGCGTAAGGTACGCTGTCAACTGAAACGAAATACAACGAAGAGGTATAAAAAAATGCTCGATTGCTGACATTAATCTGGAGGGCTGCCCATTCGAAGGTCGATCAGATACTTCTATTGACATCTTCACCGACGAATGGCTGCGACAAAATCACGCTAGACAACTTGCTATTTCAAGTTGCGGCCCATGCGGGTCTGTCATGCGGCTTAACCGATCTCGGACATAATCATGAAACACCTAATCTTCACGCCGCTTAACGGGCTTTTCGTGCTGTCATCTTATCAGGACGTAAAGCTCCAATGTGGCTTAGTAGTTCCGCTGGCATTGATCTTTGAGTAGAGGTGAGAACTGAGATATGGTATCTGATGTATGAGGTGGAACGTTGATTGATTAGGTCCTCGAGAAAGTCTGGTTTCAGAGAGGACCCTTTCAACTAGAGAACTTTGAATGGCCCCAAGCTGAAAATTTACGTGGAATTCCCATAACGGAAAACACAGACCAAATAGTAGTGTATCGATTTAGACCATAAACATATTCAGAAAGATTGTGCCTCTATATTACGGCTTTGTCCCGACTGGTTTGCTTCTCCATAACCTGACAGTAAAACGATGGCTCCTCAACAAAGAGACAATCCCTAATTACTTCGTGCTGTCCCAATGAGTGAACATCATCTGGAACGACTACAGTTTGAGAGAACCCCGAGGTTTTGCTAAGCCCGATGCATCGCAAATATGAAATCATGGGCACCGAAAAGTGAGTCGTTCTTGAATACTTGTTCGGATTCGGGTAAATCTGACATTATTACAGAATTCAAGAGTACAAGAGATTGCGCGCCAGCAGTATGCCACCTGATTTCTTATTTCTTGTCCAGTAAGTTGAACAAAAATAATCTTATGTTCTCGAAAAGCAGTTGTAACACTTTTAGACATCCGACCTATTACATAGATGGCAGATCTGGAAGTGAAGTTAGCATGTTATTTGGTCTCTGTGTATCGAAACTAGACAACCTGACAGATGAAGTGAACGTACCGTGCCCAGAAATATGAAACCATGTTTTTCGGCAACTTCCCGGGCGACTTCCTCGCCTTCCAGAATTTCAACGGCCCAGTACCGAGTAAAGATAGGTGACCCTGACTCGCTCACGTGCTGCGCCGCCCCATCCGCAAAAGTCATGCTATTGTTCGTAAACGGGGGCGATCGAAACGGCGGTAAGGCCACAGTAGCACACAAGAAGTGCAGTAAGAAAATCACCGCATGACTGATCCAACCATGACGCTTTGTCTTTGAAGGGACTAGCCGGAAATTCATTATAAGCCATATTATCATTAGCTCTCGGGAACTCTCGTGCGTAGCCGCATTGACATACGGATGTAAGTTTCAGTTCCGAAAGCGAAGAACGACAACACGGCTGAAGAATCTCGAAAGAAAGCACGCAAATCACTGGAAAAAAAAGAACATTACACAGTATTGTGACCGATTAAATCAGACTCAGCTGTATGCTTAGAACGCGGTAGAGTCCGCATCATCGACAGACTCCGCGCCTATCATTGCGCAGAACAACGGTCCTTTGTGGTCATTGAAATTCTCTCAGCAGACATTATTTTTCTAGTAGGCTCACTTCAACATACACTACCAACTTGCGTTGTCAGCTACTGTCCTGAAAATCGTGCACATTCATAGAGCGGCACTTACACAGAGGTTACTGCCTGGTACAATAAGAACGTTCGCTGACCGAGTGTTGATCAGCCCTGTTATCGAGTAATCTACAGTAGGAGTGATCTCGAAGTTTATACACACAGTTCAATTTCTCGCTGAGAGCAAAACAAAAGTGCTGTTATCAGCCCGCATTTATGATATTAAAACAACACTCAAAGATAAGATGACACCTATAAATTCAAAAACCTCATTCGGTGTCAACGAATCCTCAACGAAGCAAAAGAAGAACGTTGCGTGACAAGCTTTCCAAATGAAGAATATTATCACTATCAGCCATGAAAACCACATGCTTGCTGTGCAGTTGTTACACCTACCACAGTTTCGTTCGCCAGGAATCTAGGAAGGTGGAATAGATAGCTACGCATTGGAGGCCGCAGCTGATATAGCTGATGCATGAATACAGGATCGTCAGTGGAGATTCACTGGGAAGATCAAGCGAGAGCTATTCATTCAGGTAAGAGGTTGGGTGCATTGAATGCGCGAGTGGTCCATGTTTGACAATATATCTAATCGTTGATGTGTCCGGTCTCGGGGTCCCCATCCAGGGAGAGACTGCAGCCGAACTAGCTGGCAATGGCTCTCACACTTCGCTGTCAAGTCACTATTGGACCTCCCCGGCTCGTTTCCACTCCTCGCGTGCTTGTGCGAAACGAGCTCTCCGTCGTTATACTAGCATACAGAGCACGTGAGCAAGCCAATGCAACATACAGAGTGTAATCGGTTCATCTATCGTGGGCGAGGTATCCCCCCTGAAAACCTTTCGGTGATTTCAGCATTACTGACCCCGTGCTTTCATCAAACTGAAGCACTACTCCGAGGGCCTCGATTTTTGTCCAGCTGTAACACCCCTTCGGTGCCTAGGTGCCATGCCACCCGAAGGAGTCACGGGGGCTGGAAGGCTGCCCAAGCCTAGACTGAGAAAGTCAAGATGCAGACGTCGGTTTCGAACCATGGACCTTCCGGTCAGTAAATTAGCTCTAACCACTGAGCATCGGTTGTCAAAAACTGAAAGTTTTTTGGCGTCCTAGGCACGCATCGGTCAGGTTTCTGACCCTTATAATAATATGAAATGCAGCATTGTGAACTCGACCCTTGGTGAGTAAATTGATGTCACGTTTACGCCACATGTTATGCAGATTCACGAAAGCTGCTCTGGCTTCCCAAAACCGGATGAAAATATCACCTTTCTCAAGACCATCGGAACTGATACAGCTTCCCAGTAGGACAAATTTGTCTACTACTTCAATGAGCCCAGCTGCAATCACAAGGTTATGGTTCGAGCCCACGCAGTCTGTAAGCAGCACTTTACATTTTGAACGTGTGAAGCCCATTTCAAATCATGAGACAGAATTATTTAGGCCATTTAATGTTGTCTGTATTCCAACGATATCAGATCCAAGAGGAGCTATGTCGCCCGCGCATTCCATAGCTGTGAGCGAATGCCCCGGGAGAATTCCTTACTCTCAGGCATTAAGAGATTGGGAGTGTACCAAATTAATTTCAACGACGAACTTGAAGAGGAAAGGTGTGATGACTAACCTTTGTGTTCATATTATCATTTCCTATTAACAACACTCCGCCTTTACTCTCAGGTTACGCAGGTCTATTCATAGACAAGTAAAGCGGTAGTCATTATACGCTATTCTTCCACCCTTACCCGCCCAAATCTCTATACTTCCTCCGCAGGTCCCAGCTCTAGGACTAACCGCTTTGCTCGCCCTGCATCACACTCAGCTGCAGCTTGTCGACGTCCGAGTTCATTCACAACGCTAAACACTTCGAATTCTGTTTTCAAACCCCAAAAGCCTGTCTACTTAGCCACCTTCAATGTTCGCACACTGAAGCAAGCGCGTACGCTGGATTCCCTCTGTATTGATGTATGTTGTCTGTCAGAAACAAGGACACAGAACGCAAGTACTGCGACCGAACTGACTGCCCCCTCGCTCTCTTCCAGGTTCCGACTGCGCACCTCTGGTGACGCAGAGGCCGCTGCAGCTGGATATGCTGGGGTGGGTATTGTATTGAGCGAACGAGCGGAAGCGTCTCTGCTTGATTGGATACCCGTAGACAGTCGCCTCTGTGCGGTTCGTTTGGCAACATCGGTGAGAGAATCTAGAGGAAGTGAGGTTCATCGCACCTTGTTTATTGTTTCTGCTTACGCCCCAACTGACTGTAGCTCTGAATCTACCAAGGACAGTTTCTATGACGCTCTAGGTGCCCTTCTACAACAGGCTAAAAGCTCAGATATCGTTGTGGTTGCTGGTGATATGAACGCCCAGGTAGGTAGACTAAGCGCTGCTGAGGCCCGATTGGGTGGTCGTCTTGGTTTGGACACTAGACGCACGGACAACGGAGACCGCTTACTTCAGATGTGTGCCGATCACAGGCTGTTCCTTTGCAGTACGAATTTCCGGAACAGCGGACATCGCTTGGCAACGTGGTGCCCACCATCAAACCAGCGCCGAATCCAAATAGACCACATCGCCGTCAGTTATCGGTGGCGAGGGTCAATCAACGCCTGCCGCTCCTTCTGGAACACCAGCGTGGACTCCGACCATGCACTTGTACGCTGTTGCTTTTCATTGCGCTTTTCAGGTGTACGCAAAACGCGCACACCTCGCTTAGCCAGTGAAAAGCTAGTGGACCCAGAAGTCAAACGAAACTATCGGAACCAGCTCCTCGAATGTCTGCCGGACGGTACGGTGTCGGATATAAACGGCCACTGGGAAAAAGTATCCAAAGCGCTACTCAAAGCCGGAATGTCTGTTTGCGGTACAACCCAGCCAACTTCATCCAAACATTGGATCTCTGATAGGACGTGTTTGCTGGAGACCCGGCGACAGATTCCACCTGGCCACCACCATAACTCCATCCGGCGCATCATTCGACGCCAGGTGAAACTGAGTGTCCGCGCAGACCGAGAAGCTTCGTGGACCCGGAAGACCGAAGAAATGGAAGATGCAAAGAATGCTGGAAACGCGCGCAAACTGGTCCATTTGATTCGTTCGACCGGTCATTGGAAACCTTTTGTAAGCGAAGTAATCAGGGATCAAAATGGTCACCTGATATGCAGCAAAGCAGAAAGGTTGGACCGCTAGGCACAGTACTCTGAACAGCAATTCAGGTGGCCATCTGCCACCTCCAATCCAGAAACAACAGCAATTTGGCCATCTGCCACCTCCAATCCAGAAACCTAGCCTTCAACAGAAAGGTGAACCGTAAATATGGAGCCACCTTCAGTCTCTCTCAGGTCCAAATGTATTTCTCTACTCAAGCATCATCGTGCTGCTGGTCCTGATAACCTTCCACCTTCTCTTTTCAAGGATGGTGGTGGATTCCTTAGACAGTGCCCGTCTAGCCTATTTAAGTGTATCTGGGAGAAGTAGGCCGTCCCAGACAACTAGGGTGAATCGATAGTAGTGCCCATTTTCAAAAAGAGTACTCGCATGGAATGTAGTAACTACAGAGGTGTTAGTTTGACGCCCGTTGTGACAAGGCTTCCGGCGTCACTGATTTTCCATCGTCTGACGGTGGCACGCGGGGCCTTGACTCGTGAGAAACAAGCGGGATTTCAACTGAATAGAGGCTGCGTTGATCACATCTCCACGCTCCGTCAGGTGTTATAGCAACACCACATGTACAGACGACCCACAATCCTGGTATTCCTTGACTTCAATGGTGCGTTTGATTCTGTCGATCGATCAGTGCTGTTAACTACACTTGCCCAAAATGGTATGCCCCAGAAGTTTGCAAACATAATCCGATCCCTATATTCACAGACATCTGGGCGGGTGAGAGTGTATGGTGAGCTCTCCAAAGGCTTCCCTACAAAAAGTGGTGTCAGACAAGGATGTCCACTCTCTCCATTCTTGTTCAACTTCGTCATCGATGAAATAATGAGGCGAACACTGGACGGCTTTCAAAACCCCGGTGTTCAAATGGTTGCTGGCGAGAGCCTTGTC